TAGATAGGAAAGGAGATAAGAGGGCGGGGGATGCCGGGGGGGGGGCACGTCCCGGGGAAAAAACTCGTGGGGTCTGCGCAGCATCTTTTAGCCCTTCTTACGCGTCCAGCAGGGAGGCGGTAGCGGCGTTGGTGGTGGGCTCAGCTTTGACCCGGGGCAGCTCTGTCTTGGAGCTGGAAGAGGCTGTGCCCAGCGTGGGGCAATTCCCGGTATCTCCTCACAGAACCGCCCCTGCAGCCCCTGCCCTGCCCCAGCTAACAAAACCTTGCCGCGTAAGCCCGATGCGACAGCGATGGGTCACAGGGCAGAGGAGAGGGGTTGGAAAATAAGGAAAGGGAGGTGGGGGGGGGGGGGGAATGGCAGTGGGTGCCAGGCCAGAGGGGAGGAAGTGACCGGGGACCAGACGGAGAGAGAGGGAGGCCTCTCTGATTCCTGCGACGATGCCTCCTGCTCTGCCAGAACCTGTGCCCAAGCCCTCTTTGTGCTCCTGCGCAGCAGCCTGTGCGTTTTCTGTGTTAGAGCGTGGTTGCATCGGGCAGCTGGTAGCCGCAAGATGTCTGGCGTCGGCTGTGGGGCGGGCAGTGGGGTTCCTTCCCTGGCAGTCGAGGAGAAGAGCAGAGAAGGGGTTTGTAAAGTTTTGAGGCAGGGGGATGGTCGGGCAAGGGAGGCGGGTTCATCAGCCTTTCTCGGACAGGTTTTGGAGCTGGATTTGGCTTTCCATGAGGTCTGTTGTGTTTTAGTCTCTCCACGGCCGACGGGGAGGTACGACCGAGTCGCGAGAGATGCAGCGTAAACTGCCCGCGTGGGACAACGTGCAGGGCTGAACATCGGACGAGTCTCATCTCGGAAGGCATCAGGTACGGTAAGGGACGTTAAAGCTTACCCTCTTGACCTCTGAGTCTCCCTTTGTCCGTGCCCGTTCCTTCCTTCCTTCGCTGACATAAAGTTTTGCGTCTGTCCCGTCGCTGTCCAGCTGGCCGTTGCAGCCATTGTTACTGGGTTGTCAGTGCCATTGTCACTTAGAGTCAGCGACAAGGCACGTATTTCTGGTGCAGGCTTGTGTCAATGTCTTCCCTGGGGTTTCTAGGAGAAGAGGTCGTGTATTCTTTGGTCTTGTAACAACCTCCAGCCAGGGGGTCTGTCTTTTCTCGCAGTTGCAGGCACGCGAGCTTTTTCTAGGCTTCCAGTTCTGCCTTTGTCCCCAACATGTCCCACGAGGTTTGCTCCAGTATCGGTCACAGCAGTTCTGTTGTCTCGTTCTGGTTTCTCTGTTGTGTTCTTAGCACCAGTTTCTGTAGTCGTAAGGTGTCTGGTTTAGATATTTGAGTCTCGAAGTCACACCACCATGGTTTTTCCATTGGCTGGCCACTGCTGTAATTCCCTGAGGGGCTTTGTAGGTGATGGGGTTCGAGGGTCTTGTGCCGCTTTTGTGGCGGTCCTCGGTTGCTGCATGGTAGAATGTCCTGTCTTTTTGAGCTTCCTGTTTTTTTCATCATTTCTGGGATGTCTTTTGTTTATTCTAGCAGGTGAAATCAGGTCTTTTTTTTTTGACACGCAGGTCCCTGTGGCTCTTTTCTTCCTCCTCCCCCCACCCCAGATATCCTCACTGCTTTTTTTTCCCATGATTGGAGCAACAGAGAGGGGAGTGGAGCGCTGGGTCATCCAGGGAGGTAGTGTCAGGCTTCCTCCCGTATTAGCAGTCTGGTACGTGGGACGATAGTGTGAGCACGTGTTGTGTGGGTGTGCTAATCCCTTTCAGAGTGTGTCAGAGGGCAAGGATTTTGTTCCGTTTGTTGTAAGGTTGTTCTGTTTAGTGTTTGTTGAGGATGTGAGTTCTGTGTGGGAGGAAGGCTGGCTGGCTTTGGGATGAGGTGGGGTGCACATGTGCTTAGGGGGCACTGTGCTTCGAGGATGCTGCCTGCCAGGATGTCTCCTGTCTCTGGGTAAATAAACCTTTGTGTGTCCCTCTTTGCCCAGGGGTGGCTCTGCAGCCCCTAGGCAGGGTCCCAGGGAGGAGATGATGTGTTGTGAGGCTTGGGTGATGGCCCCCTGTTCCCCCTGGCCTCCAGGGGTGGGCTGGGCAGCTCAGGTGGGACCCGTGAGGTGAGGATGGGGCTGGGCCAAGGGTTGAAAAAGGCTGTGGGTGGGCATAGGCTGGGGCAGTCCTGGGTGGAGCTGGTGAGGA